ATTAACCACCATGTTTTTTCAAAGGCCCAGAATGGACCAACCAAACACTGGCTCTAGATATGGCCTTTCACGCTTTTTGCAAGCTTGAAAGGCTGAGCTGTATTCAGTTGTCTGCAATCAGCAAATTCACCACTAGATGCCACTAAATCTCACATCTTTAATTCACTTTAGATAATCTCAGGCAGTGGTTCTCAACCTGGGGTCTAGGGACCACCAAGGGTCTTTAAAAAGGTAACAGGGAGTCCCCAGAAAAATGGGTAATGTTGTAATTTCAATATTATTTCACTGACTAATAGTTAGCTCACATGTATTTTGGTTCATTTGGTCTGGGACAAGGGAAAGACAATCATTAATTTTTGCCTTTTATTTCTGGTCTGTTTAGGGTACATACACTGACTTATTACACACAAACCAAGAGGTGCATCATGAGGTAATATGGACTGACAAGTGAGTCTCCTCATTGGACAGTTTTTGGGACTGACTCACATGGTGGAAATCAAATTCTGAAGACTAACAGCAGCCCAGGCAAGACTCTTCTGCTTCTTTATGTACATATGTTACCATGTTTACCAAATTATCTTGTATAAATGTAGACTATCCATCACTTGTATCAGATCCGGAGATCGAAGTGTGTTAACTACATACTATATCAACTATCACAAGACCCCGTAGTTGGTCTGTCTTGCTTTCATGACTCAAATGAATGGCACCGGAGTCCGCTCGGAAGCAGACCAACTATTCGGGTGGTCTTGGTCTAGTTGTTTAGTCTGCACCAGAGTTCAGTCACCAGCTTTCACACCAGTCCAAATGAACCACACTACACAGGCAAGGGCAAAGTCCATTTCAACCAACACCTATTGGTTGTAAAAGCACCCTACAAGCAAAACTGTAACGAGAACCAGAGGCTTTATATCAGTACATGTACATGCTGATGCCCCTGCTGCTTGTCTGCTTGATTTCTTTGTCTAGATAGTGTGCGTGTGTGTCTACATATGTACATGCTGTCTTTTGAGCTTCTATTAAGGTAAATGTTTGACTACAGAGGTGCATGCATGTTGCATGTGATAGTGTAGGAGCAGGATGGTGTGACTGTGGTGGCGGAAGGGGGTCTAGAACATAATGTGAGAATCAGCTTCTGACAGCTCAGCCGTAACAACCTATCTTGCCATTAGCAAGGCAAAGGTTCGGCATGATTTGCTGTTGAATTACAGTAGACATTAGTAGTGTGGGGGCCACAGACACATCAAAGTCATCAAAAGACTAGCTCTAAAAGGATGGAAGCCTTCTGTGGTCTTAATGGCGGCAGTTTTTTTTGTGTGCAAGGCTTTTAGTTGCCCGCGTGTTACATTACCGTGTTTATCTTTGTCTTTCTCTCACTGTGGGGGGATTGGGGGGGTTGTGTGGGTGGATGAGAGGGGCGACTTGCAGCCCTCACCATGGGGTTTCGTTGTTTAGGCCAAGGGAGAGAGAGTACAAAAAGCCTGGCTTCAAGTAAAATGGTTGATGTTTTTTTTATGTGTGGTGTAGTTGATCTGATTACACTTGCATGCATGCATTCAAACACCTTTCTCTTACCATACTAACTTCTAATCATTCCTTTAACAATTACTCCTTAACTTAAATCTAGCATCTGATTTTAATACTTTACTTTTTTTTTACTAACTATCTTAAACATTTGGAATGCTGGACTTTTACATTTAATGAACTTTTTGTTACATTCAAGCCCTCACAAGTTTACAAAATGCGTGTGACTTTCCCAACTCCGAGTCCCAGCATTGAAGCTTTTACATCAACCAGCAATGCTGGTGTTTTAAACCTAAAAGGGTGTATCTTCTCACCAGTGGAAGAGGCCCAGTCCATCCTGAGAGTGATCGGTTAGCTTGCAAACCCCTTGTAAAAAGTCTGTATTTCATAGTTCACCCATTCTACAGAATAATGTTATTCTCCAGGTCTCTCCGCTAATTACTCCACCATTAAAATCGTCCGGCTCCCACTCCGACCAACCCCTTGCAGCTGACAGCAGTGCACTTGCTGAACTACGGGAGGTAACTCTGGTGATATGTCGAGATATGTTTAGGAATAAGGTTTGGGTGAGGTCAAGGTAAAGGGAAATACATCTTGATGACAGACTTTGAAACAACACTGGAGTTGGTGGAGAATCACTAAGCTTGTCTATTAGGCACAAGAGGTGCCTCTTAGATTTATCTTTGTTGGCCAACGGTTGTATGTCTGATTTTGAGTATTTTTGTTGTTTGCTTCCTTAGATCCCAAAGAGGAGTTTTTTGTTGAGCTGAAGATATATTTGTTATTAGTTGAACTGTGGTTTTTGTATTGAGCCCTACATTGTGGTGGACTGTAAATTCTTATGTGTTTTGTCTTTAATTACTCTCACAGCCAGAGTGGGAGACAAAAATTCCGCAATGCAGCTTTAACTATCATTAAATTGAAACACTTTCTCATTTAAAGTTTATTAAGTTCCTCTAGTTTAGCTTAATTAATCTGTATTATGATCTTAAAGGTCCACTGTGTAGGATTTAGTGGCATCATCTGGTGTAGTGGATTGCAACTCCCTCACTTCACCCTCCCCTAGGAGAAACTATGGTGGCCATTCTGGGCTTCTGTTGAACCATGGTGGCCTCCATGACCCATGGCAAGCTCATTCTAACAAAAACATAATGATTCTTATTTTCAGATGATTATACACTGATGAAAACATAGCTATGCATATTATATTCCAAATCTGTTTATAGATCCTTCTAAATGTTACACATGGGATCTTTAACCCTAAACCCAAACAGTAGTATTGCAGACTAATTCTTCAAGAAGTCAGCACTAAAAAATATCTTCAATGCGACCTATGTGTCAAACTGATTTTTGCAAAGATAGAACCAGAGGTATATACCCACAGAGAGATGGACTCTGCACTGTTAGCAGAGACTAACAGCTGTAATATAGCAGGTGGCAGTAAGCCGTTTCCTGATCTTCAGTGGTACCTCTGTTGTTTTATTGCACTCATCATTAGCACAGCAGCTCTCCTTCCTATAAATAACATCTATTCAGTGGGTGTCCGTCAGGCATTGAGAGTCCCTTTTCCCCCCCTACATAAAAAAGGAGCCTTTTCACTCTGCTAATTCCCTCTGACAATAGCAGCCAAATAATTTCTCTGTGGGCTTAGGGCCTACCAAAAGTGATAGTGAAGTAATTTTGGCCAGGGAAAATGAGCGCATTAGAGTGTAATGCCCTGCTCAGGGAGAAAATGTTATTGGTATCAACAGTGAAAAAGCATGTTAAGATAATGCTTATGAGGGTGAGAGTATAACACAGAGAAAGAGAGGAGGACTCTACATCAACAAAATGAAAGAAATCTGGTAGCAGTAGGTGGAAGCAGTCAACAGCACACTCATCTATTGATCCCTAGCTAGGTTTGGCTGTGATACTACTACAAAAATATTAAAAACAAAACAGATTAACACTAGCTGATTTTTTTGTGTGTTTTTCCTTAAACTGAATCATGGATCTAAGAATAGAGGGTGTCGAATACTGTACCAGTGGGGCCAGAGAAAGCTTTAAAAGGCCCTTTAAGGCAATGTGTAATGTGTACGATTGTGTTATATGAACAACATTTACTTGACTTACTTCAGCATGTAATCAAATTATTATGTGGCATATGTGTCCATAAAGTAATTTAATGATTTTTTACTCACAGTCTCCTATCACCAGCTACCTTCACAGGGGGGCATTTCACTAGACAGGACAATAGAAATAGACAGAAGAGGCAGAGGAAAGACTGATAGATGACATGCTGCAAAGGGTCTCAGGCCAGACTTAAACCTGGGCCGCTGTAGGACGGTCTCAGCCTTGACACGTGGTCCATGTTCTAACCGGTGAGCTACCAGTGCACCCACAAAAGAAGTTTAAAAGCTGGAATGGCCTTTATAGGCTGCTAGCAGGGATTTTAGAAATGAAAATTTCTTCGGAAAATTGTCCTCCAAAGACATATTTGACAAGCCAACAAAAAATTTATATTATTTTAAATATAGGCTATTTTAAAGTCTGTTTTATTATTTTACTTAACTGTTCAATTATATTTTCTGCATAGTTGACCTTCCTTCCAGTCTAAATGTTGTTTCAAGGCCTTCTCCGCACTCAATCCCTCTATCATATTTTCATTTAATAACTTTGGCCTAAAAGTAGTCTTCAAAATCCACTGTGTAAAATGTGTTTGTACATGGTGAATGTAACAAACTTCTCTTCGGGCCATTAAAATAACCAAACAATAGAGAGAGAGAAAGAAACAATATGGAGGATGTGACCTTGGTGTCCTCTTTGGTAGCGAAAATAGCACTTCATAAGGAGGTGCTGTGGTGTGGGTGTGTTGCTGCAGGCACTGGTTAGAAGATGAAATATAATCCCGTTTGGGTAATATTAATAATGAGTTTGCAAAGCTTTTTCCCTTTGTGTCAGTCTTAATCCAGCTTTAGGACCCCATGCCTTAGGATCCAGACGGAGGGCAGAAAGTGCAGTCAGTTGAAGAAAGTCGACGGAGGGAAGCGACAAACTTTTGCTAATGGACCTAGTATTTAGTATGCTATGGTGTTAGCAATGATCACCAGCGCCAACAACTCACCAATCATCAGACTACATATAAATTATTTTGGTGTTAATGTGAATGCGACCTTATATGCTGTTAATCACAGTGACTCATATTAAATCATACTTGGATATTTTGCTCCATAAAAAGTGAATTGAGATTAAACTCGTAATCTCTGATTTATACACCAGAGTCAATAAGGGGCCGATTGAAGACTAAACACTGAATCTGATCTGAGACATATTGTGTAAAAGGAAGTGAGCTAAATGTTCTGTATTTATTATTGTTTTATGAGTACAGTACCCAAGTGTTGAAGAAGAAGAACTGATGAGAGTGAAAAACAGATACAGAGATACAGTTAGAAAGAGAAACAATAAAGTGCTGGAGGGTCAGTGTTAGACCTGCGTACCATAGACGTAGAGGATGTAGTCGTCGAAAGACTCCCCCACTGAGTTGGAGGCCATACAGCGGTAGGTTCCATTGTAGGACTTGTTAAGGTTTTCGATGTAAAGATCGCCGCCAGTGATGACAGCGTGGGATGGCACATCATCATCCACCTTCACCCAGTTCACCCGCTGTGGCCTGAAATGAAAACACCAGAGCACCAGTGAGCATCATAGATAAGTTAAACATTCAAGCACTGAAAATGGAAGTGTAAATGACAGACGGTGCGATCCTTTTTGGAACAAAGATTAAAGTTAAAACACTGTTAGTGGCCCCTAAGGGCTGCAGTGTCCATGACACCCCAAAGAACAAAATTATTGAGCGAAGTTGCCCAAACTGACAAGTTTTTAAGGCACAATTGGCATAAAACTCTCCTGCTACATTGGCTGTGGCTCAGGGGGTAGAGTGTGATGTCCACTGAACACAGGGTTGGTGGTTCAATACCCAGCTCCTCCTGCCAAAGTGGGCAGGCCAGCACCTTACACGGTTGCTCAAGTGTATGGGTGAATGATGGGCAACATTGCTTTGGATAAAAGTGCTTTACAGTGTTGAGTCATAAACAATTTATTTCATTTGATCAAATTTGAGTGACATATTTGATTGATGAACATCACCTGATTTTCTTTTCATTCCTGTCAAAAAATCTGTCCATCTTGTACTGTGCATGTCATTTTGATAGCCTCGCAAGCGTCAGAGAACTCTTGTTAGGTTATTGGTTTTTCATAAATCACAAACTTGTAACTTTTGATGTGCTCCACATTTTTCCCTCAGTCCTTTTTTAACCCCCCTGCAATGGCTCTACATCGCCCACCCCAGAGGGACCCGTAACCCAATTTGAGAACCACTGCTACTAGGTCTGTGAACATCCGTAACAAATTTCGTGGTATTTTGTCTTATAGTTATCTTTTGTATGACACTGATAATTTAAGTTCCATGGGCATCTTACCAATGCCTTTTGTAAAACCCTGACATTGACAAGTGTTTGAGCTGAATTAATTTCATTATACTGCGAAATTCATAGATTTAAAACTTATTTTATAAAAGTAATAGATAATCAACATTTTTGCCCTTACTTTTCTTTTTTTGTGGTGATGCAGGGGCTTTAAGTCCTACTCTGGAAGGTCAGGTGCTCTGAATGCCTCCTGCCATCAACACCCGATCTTTGGTTTTGTAACAACTGCATTTTCAGGCTCAGACACCAAACGCTTAAGAGAAAAGACTCCTTGTCACTTTTGGTCATTGTTCATTTGAGTTTCTATTTTTATGTTAATGCAATGTTTCTTGGGATGTCAGAGCATCCTTGAAGCACCAAGAAGAGTTGTAACATGCTATGTTAAAAAATACCTGTAATGCCATACAATCAAAAATAAATAGGGGCATATTACCCAAATATAGTGCACATCTATTTGGGAGTCCACAACATGACAACACTTGAGAAGCTTTCCCACTGTTGTTAACACTTCTCCAAAGATTATAGTCTGGCCTTAAACTGAACAAATCTACCTCCTTTTTTAAAATAAATGTTCTAGCAACTGTTTACTAGAAGAAAGGGCTAATCAAAGAGAGCTAGGACATAAAAAACAAGACATATTAAAATGACATTCCTCCCTTTGTGTACAGCTAAAAGCAAACAATAACTGTGTAGCAGCTTTGTCTTCAAATTGCAGGCTTTCCACGCTCATATAGTTATGAGTGTCGCTGTGTAGGTGGGCGCCTACCAAACGTCTGTATTTGTTCTCTTTTCTACCTTGACTGAGGTTTATAGCGGGGTGACAGATTCCATTTTTATGACAATGAGCTCAGAGAGCTCAGAGCCACCGAGGGTGAAGAGAAAAGAAAAAGACAAACGCCTCTATTTTGCTGGTGCAACTTGCAATGGCCACTGCCAGCTACGGTTATTTCCCCTGAGCGTGTGCTGATGGTTTCTCTTGTTGCATTTTGTTGTGGTGTTTTAACTTGTTTCCCTCCATTTGAAAACATCTGGTGTGGAGGGAGCAAGCAAATTGAAGAGGGGGGAAAAAAGCTGAAGCGAAAAATCCAGGAAAAGAAAAAATGATATCAGTTGGAGCTCAATAGGTAAAACAAACAAACAACAAGTGCATTTAATGGCTGTGGTGGATGGCTTGAAAAAGAGAGAGCCGTGTCTATTACAAGTGTTCTCCAGATGAAATGAAATGCAAATAAATAATAAATATAGGTCTTTTCCTAACATGGAGTGAGAGACATGACCTAGAAAGTTTAGTTCCTATAGGTGGATGGGATGTTGTGAAAAGGGAAAAAGTGTATCTGGAGAAGGAAGATAGACAGAGATAGACGAAAGAGGTAAGATGGGGTTGCAAGGAGAGAGGAAGGGCAGGCGTGTTGAATACAAATGGCTGCCTGCAGCCACAGCCCCCTGTGCTATCTGCTGGTAATGACTGCACAACTCTCAACAGCTCTAATGAAAATGACTTCCAATTCCCGGCTCACTGTATTGATTGTGTTTTCATCTTTATAAAATGAATACGGGTAGTGAGCTTGTCTCTATGCCAAGTATGAAAACTGCAGGGGGCTGGTGGGGAGAGGCAGTCTGTACACAGTGTTTGGTTGTGTTTGGTTGTGTGTGTGTGTGTGTGTGTGTGTGTGTTCTTGTACTTCTACCCTTCAGAGAATCATACAGAGTTTTAGACCCGAAGAATGAGAATATTTCTTGCAAAGTGAGGACAGTTTGATTTATCGTAGCTTTTGATTTCAGTTTAGTTCCCACACATTTTCGTGGACAAAATTACAAAACGTTTTTCATGAATTTCAAGGACGCATGAACAATTTTCCACGACCATTCACTACCTACCACAAGCAGAGTTGTATCATCAAGAGCGCAAATCTCATTACAACTTGGCTGACCATTACAATGACACATTTAATTATTTATTAAGCAGCTTAAAATACCAGAACACATGTATATTGACAATAATGAATAATCAAGTGCTCCTCAATAAGCAAATGTGACTTTTTCTGATACTGGATCTTGCGGCTTTCACGCTGTTGATGGACTGTCTGAGCTGAAGAAAGCACATAGATGCGTCGAATGTAAGACGAAGGAACTTCTAAACCAGTGCATATAAATGTTGACGCATAACCATGCAGTATTAAAGAGAATGACTACAACATATCATGCTAACTTACATGTATCACAGAAGTTTTATGAGGTGGATTAAAATCTGCAATTCAGATTCCTGGGTTCACCTGACTGACCACTGAGCAGGATACATAAGAGCGGCATTAAAAAAACCTTCAAAAAGTCTTGTGTTTAAGCGTGAATGAGTCCGGTTCCATTATATATGAATATTTCACTTATATCGTTTTTTTAGAAATAATTTCTTGGGGGGAGGGGGCAACTTCATGTTTGTTGGAGGGGACAAACTCCATCCTCCCCAGGATCTGCGCCCAGGTGTATTATACAGTTCCTGGATCACTGCATTTCCCTCAAAAATCAATCAATCCAACTGACAGTACTGTGTGTATGTGTGTGTGTGTGTGTTTTACACTGCCAGTGCAGAATAATTCAAACATATCAGACTCAAACATCATTTCAGCTAGCTGGCATACATGAAGGGAGAGATGGAAGTGATAGTAAACAAAACAGCACGCATCATTGCATATTGGAGCTACATGACTTCAACAGCTACAAAAAAATACATTTGCTGCTATTTTACATTACTTGAAAGGTTATCCATGTATTACTGTAAGCGTTTATGTCATTACACACAAAATCCTATGACGAAGGCAGAAGACGACATTTTGAAATTCAATGACTTTTCCAGGTTTCCTTTTCTCCAAGTCCAGTTTTGCAAACGCACAATCTTCCTGCAAAGCTCAGTACTGCAATTGAGCAATGTAAGGCCTGTGACTGCACCCATAATGAATCAGGCTCAGACCTGGCTCCATAGACAAATGTGAGACACTCGCAATTTTAGGGGCACACAGCATGTGAGGCTAATACATGAAAAATAAATAAACAAATAGAAATACTATGTTTCAGTAACTAGTAATGTTCTTGCATTTTTGCCTGCTTAGTCAAAACTTGTTGGCAGAAGCTGTCACTCTTCAGAACTAAATAAACTCCAACTTTTTTCAATAATAACCTTGAATCATTCAGCTTAACAATGCCACTAATTCCGTAAACATAATACTTGTTATTGTTAACATATATTTTGAATTTCAAACACCTTAAACTCTGTAGGCTCTGAAAAGCTCCTTCACAGACAGCAATTGTATTCAACTTTGTACCATTGTTGGAATGAATTGGAATCCACTGTACACAACAGTTACAATAGATTCCAATAGCAACACTGTATCAAGGCGAAAAAGATAACACAACATACATGTACACAAACTTTTCAAACCACTAGTGCAGCACAATCTACTTCTCTTCTGCATATTCATATGCTCAGCATGCTCCAGACAATCACAGTTTGCCATAATATGCCAAGGTGTAGGTCTACAGGTTCCATTTGTCATAATTAGCTGTGTACATTTGTTATTTGTAACTATGCTTGTTAAAATGAGTCAGGAGCAACATATACTAACTACCTGCGCTGGGGATAAATAGAAATTGTGCATTTAGTTGTAGTCTTGCAATTTTATCCTGTGAGAGTGGTTTGAAAAGTTTTCATGGAAGTTTTGATACTTTTTTCTCAATAAAATTGATTTGCCATTAAAATCCAGCAATTTCTTTGTGAATCCAAACTTATTACAGCTGTCTTCCTCTGCCAGAAAGAAAACTATAAACTTTTCAGAGCCACTTTTCAAGACTGCAGATGAGTGTTTGGTGCCAAAAACCATGGGTTTTTAATGGAGTAAAACTATTTCTTCAAGGTTGTCATTTTTCGCCACATTTGAAATTACCCCTGCAATGCCAGATGCACGACTTAGTCACATACTGTTTCTGAAATAATCGCCTGATCGAATTTGAACTGCCTTGTCAACAAACTAATATTGCTGATACCAACAGAAACAGCTGTATTGATGTTTGGAAAGGTTGGAAGGTCTCTCGCCTGAAGCCTGAATGCTCTTACTCCTTTACCAACCCTGAGTTAACCTTGTGAGACAACTGGACTCAAGATCAAAAAATTAAGTGAGAATCCATCTTGCCAGGTTTCAATCTATGAGTTTGTGGACAGTACAGTGGTACCAGACCAATCAGCGTCCTTTGAGGAAGTACTAGCAGCTACTGGGTGGTGGTTATATCAGTTGTATATCAGAACTGGAGATTATTTCTTTGTGGAACAAAGAGCAAAGAAGGACACTGAAGGCTTTTCACAAACAAGAGCTTTCTGATGCTAAGGCCAGACATTTCAAAGAACTGATTAACCCTGATAAAGGCCACAGTAACTTAATTTTTGACATTGCAGAAAGAATTATGTGGGAACTTTTCTCTTTGCTCAGCTCTGTGCATCACAAACAACCATTAAACTTTTTAATCCCAAAATTGACTTTATCTGTGCACATCCAGTGCCTCCAGTCCATCAACCTACTCGCTCCTTCTTACACAGTCTCCCTAATACCTTCAGAAAATTAGCACTCATTACTAAAAAACACCTTGCCTATTCAACCCTCTTTCTGCTAAAATTCTTTCTGCTAGATATTAGAATCCACTCAGCTCACTATCATTAATGCCCTTCTCTGTTCTGTCCTCCGCCTTTAAAGGAGTGGTAATTAAACACCTGCTCAAAATATCACACAGTAATTCTAATGTGTTTCATAATCACAGGCCAGTTTCAAATCTCCACTTTGAAAGTCCTGAAAAAGAAAATAGCAGCCATTAAATTAAGTGATTATGTGTCTAGCAATAGTCATTTAGAAATATCTGGCCTCAAGTCTGTCTGTAACATTAAGATTGGCTTAGTCACAGCTTCTCATCTCTCTAACATGTGGTTGTATGACGGCAACCCTCTTATCCACCAGCTCTACTCCCACACTCCTTATTAGAAGAGATCTCATCTTCCAGTGATGAGAGCCAATGGCTAGTACAACCACGTCTCATACCACTCAACTCCATGTACCAGCTTCTTCTCCCACAGTGACATTTCACATTCCTAGAGCCAACTTTCATTGCTAATTCAACCATACTTAAATCTGCTTTGACCCAATTTCTTGTCCATCACACCTTAACCCCCAACACCCATTTTTTAAATTTGAGAGCGGTTAGCCCACAAGGTAAAGATTCTGTGTCACTTTTTCAGGTTATGACTGGGCAGGCTACGATGATAGGCTCACCGCATCAGGCTGACATAGGCGCACCACCCCTTCAAGATTCCAATGTTTTCAATCCATAAGTCATAAGTATTACCATGAATTGTCAGTTGTCTGGTTTTTATTCAGTGTTTCCAGTGAAAGAAACGAGTAAAAAACGTCTTACAGTTGTCATAGAATGATTAAGCACTGACATTATGAGGAATGTCAGCGATACAGCTTATGACAGAGGTGTTCATGATACCCTTACATTTTTATTTTTTTATTTTTTACTGAAATTAAACTGTTGCGGCTTCTGAGGTTGTCAAGATGAACAGAGAGTTTCTACTTTTCTCTCTGCTTGTCTGCTTTTTATTTTATTTCAGGATCTAATATTAACTATTCACCACAAAGAAAAGTACAGTGTTATGAATGAATGGCGTAGTACTCTGAACTGAAATGACTTCAGCAACTTGTGGTCTTGCTCAAGGACACATGTCGACAAGAGGTGCTAGGGATTGACCCAGTCTAACTCCTAACCCACACCCACCATAATATGTGCTTTAAAATGTTCTCTAATATTGGAGGTTTTGTATTTTCTCAATTGCAAAGACAAACTTTAAGGAATGAAGTCAAGTTATTTGGATGCATAAATAAATGTGCATGAACGTTCTCTGCCCATGACACATTTTCAGTTGGTTAAAACATGTATGTGTGTGTTTGTGTGTGTCGTACTGGGGTTTGCCTTTGGCCTGGCACGTCAGTTCCAGGTTCTCTCCTTCCCTGGTCAGACCCTGAGGAAACTCTACCACAATCTTTACCTCCGGTTTGTCTGAAAGGATAAAAGAGAAACAGACAGAGAAATAAATGATGGGATAACATAACAGACATTATCTATTTTCACTCCACATCTAGTGTCTACATCACGTCCTTTCTGATTTATTCTTATTTGCAGTTACATTGTTTGTAGCATACATAAACATGATTTTGAGGTTCAGCTACCAACCATTCCATAAAATGGATCTGCAACAAAAGACTGTAATTTTGTAAATTTGTCCAATTTTTTGGTTCCCAAGTTGCCCGTGAGCAGTGTAAGGATATACACTGCAATATTTATATTCAGTGGTACCACTTCAACGGATCAAACTTTCTTAAAGTGTTTACCTTGACACAGAGGTGGTGCAGCAAACTGTAAGGATTCATGTCCCATCAGGCGTAACATTAAGCACTGCTGTTCGGGCACAATACCGAGGTTTTGTGAAGCATTAACTGATTGGCAGCAGCTAAAGCTTTTTTATCAGGCTACCAGCGGTATAGTAGCATCCCACCATAATTATATAGGTGTGCAGCATATATATTTTAATCAGATTCCTCACATTAATTCTTTATCCACCGACTCTGTCTGCTCTGACCCGTTGCTTTGGGTGGCTAATGTTATCAAAGGATTTATATAGAATCTACAATATAAGTATACTTAATTTGCCGAACATATGACTCCTTCCTACAACTATTACGTTATGTTCCAGCGTTCAAAGGCCTTTGTGCTTTTCTTCCCACAGAACACACTGTAGACTGCTCACCATGATCACAGTCATGGTTAGGTCCATATAGGTTTAAGTAATCAATAAGTGCAGAAACAGAAACAACAACCCAGCATGCCCTAGCAGTGTAACTTCACTTTTGACCTACATGCTACCAAGCCCCCAGGAAGTGCACTGGACTTTAAGCCATTTTGTAATGACTGCACTGGCGACATCACGTGATGCACACAGGCCCCTTCCATAATGTCGCACTGTGAAAGAAGTGGCCCCATGCAAAATGAATACTTTCATGTGGACAGTCTAGAAGAGCTGCACAATTAAATAATTGTATCCCTATTCAAGTTAATGGAAGGCTAAACCGGAAGATAGCAGGCTTGGCCGGCGGAAGTCTCAGTATGATTTCATCCGGGTATTTTCTTTACAGCAGGAAGTGGCTTTTTTGTCTTCATGTGCCAGTTGAGCAGCTTTTCTAGGAATGAGCAGAGTACAGCCTCCAATGCTGTATCCAGTTCTCCATTCATACATCCATGCCTGCAACATTTGCTTCGTCTGGGTTTATTCGACTTGATCAGGTATTTTTTCTTTACATCTGCCTGCTACTACTGCCTTAACCTAAACCTTCTCTTCCACTGCATCAAATCACTCTTCAGCTGTGTTGGGTCTACCTTGGCATAATATTGATGGAATTTTAAATCATCACCAAAACACAAGCCAAAGCTTTGGGGAATGACAAATGTGGTGCAGTCGAGGACCACAAGTAGCCCTGAGTATGTTCAAAGACGTTACCTGATAAAGCTGCTACACAAAACAGAGGACACAGCTGAATAGTTGAGGCAGCTGGAGAGAAAACATAAGAATGTTGTTTTGACAAATCAGTGGGGTGCTTTGACAGTTGCTGCTGTGCTATTCTTTGCAACCATGGAGCTTCTATTGTTCCCATTCCGTTGCCGGTGTTATCAAAGCCTTTTCTCATCTTGGTGTGAGAGATGATCCTTTATTCTGGACTGAAATTTAATGTTTTATTCAATCCATCTTCTGGGTTAGGGATTGAATTCAATGTTGCCATGTAGTACTGAAAGTAAGACTGAGACACAACAAACGCACCAAAAGTCCTGCTCTGACTTACACATTTGAAATATTTACATGCCGTAAAAATAAAATAAGTACGTATTAGTTGACGATTCCACACAATGAGGTGTCAACCTAGAAGAAAATCATGATGATCAAATGTATTTATTTCCATTATCAGTGTTTGGGACACTTTGGAGAGAATAATCTATACTTATACGACAACATGTTCATGAACTAAATATCACAAAAAGGAAACTTCTCCATTTTTTAAATGCAGAGTAAATGTGAGGAGTATCATTCATATAGATGTTAGAATGTCTTTTATATGAAATGTGTGTATGTATTATATGAATTGTATGTCTATATCACCCTGTCATCAAAAGCAAGATTTGTCACCAGCAAGGCTATTTAAATTGATCCAAATTTTTGGAAATACGTCAATAGCTTAATTATCCTGAAAACCAGACTTGAAGTGCTTACAGCACACCATGTCCTAGCTTGTTTACTCCAAAATGTTATTTTGTTGAAGTTTCCTACATTAGAGGCTGCAGATAAATACCTCTAGAGTTTAGTCATCTCATACCAGATTGATTGCTGAGTCACAATGGTGTAATTACAGTTTTCCAATTGTGATGTAAATTATTCTTGTTTTTTTCCCAATTCTATAGCCTAAATGCACGCTTGCATTTTTAATCAGCATGTAGACAGCGGGCTCAGGCTTGAGTTATGATTTCAAAGCCGGCGGTAAAGTTTCACACTGCTGTCCGACCTTCTCGGCAACAAACAACACGTGTCTGGCCATCCATCTGTCTAAATCACACCCTGTCAGTGGCCAGCTCTCGGTCTTGGTGATGGACAGCAGATGGGCGAAAAGCCAAGTCTTCTGCTCAGTGGGCATGCACGGCTTTAGACAGCAACCCTTTGGTTTTGTTTCCACTCCAGGCACTACATGGCATCCTGCAACTTTTTCTTCGCTCACAACGTCATCTGACCTTGTCATCTCTGAGCTATAAACATGAAGGACACCAGGCATCTGTAGGTTGTTTTGATAGCCTCTGGTAGTTATGGCGGAGCTTTCTTTGTCTCTGCTTGACAGAAAAACACATGCTGCACTGCCAGATCCGGATACTGCCACTTCAGTGCATATGAAATAGTGTCTACCGTATGCAAGAGGGCCGTTATCATTATGCTAACTGAATTATTTGCTTCATTGTGTGCCTCACCTCATAAGCACTCAAGACGGCACTATCCATCTCTCCGCGCCAGCTGACCTTAAGGGAAAACAGCCAGGCAACGGAGCAAAACAGCTTGCTTTGCTTATACACATAAACATTACGGGCTTATTTAATTATGCTGTCCCTTGACAATGGCCTCTTTTTGCTGTTTCTTTCTACACAATGCACTCCATTCCACTCACAAATTGCCCACACAGTGAGTGATTGAAATGTAAATCAACTCGTCTATCTCAGTAATCAGTAAACAAACTTGTGTGTAACTGTGCAGCAATGGCAAAAGTACGATTTATTTTACGGGTCTTTTATAATTTTCCTAGAAAGGAACCAATACATAACTGGATTCTTCAAAAAGGTTGGTGAAAGGACCAGGTAATTTGGTACTAAATATATGTAAAATAAGACCGTGGCATGGACTTTTTAGGCATCCCGAACCATTCAGAACATGGTGTTCAGTTCGGTCTCACACACACCATTGTTCAGAATAACTTGTTATATTGATGATTCTTATATCATAACATAACGATATATTTCAGACACCAAATGTATAATTTACCGTTTTGGTCCAAAAAGAAGAATAATTAAATTATTAAAACCTCCATTTAGTTGAAGTCCCCACTGTGTTGCATGCCAGGCGAGAATTTCTTTTCCAGTCCAGAAATGCGCTAGTGCCCCTATAGATCATTACTGAATCAACGGTGCAACTGTGCTCTAAATATTTTGGGAACCCACCATCTGCAGTCTATTCAGTGATAAGATTGAATCAGATTAAACTGGGATTTGTTGGTAGTATGCTCCAATTCCAATAGTGTGAGAATAGAATGTGCACTTGACACTTAAACATGAAACTGTTCCTATTTAAATCAGCACAGATTTCTTATATTCTTATGTAACTGTTGCTCAGAGATATCTTTGTCTCTTTCTGTCTCTTTCAGTTGCCACTCTGGTTGAACCATTGTACAATGGTGTTTTGTTGTACACGTACAAAATATTACTTTTTGTGCAAACCCTTCATACATAGAACCTCAGACTGCAAAGAGGACTTTTCACAGTTGTATATGAACCAAATGATCACTGTCTGAAGTAGTTTAATACACTCTAATTAGGTTTATGTGTGAAACACAAATACTAAAGTGTGAGTGTTCAACCCGGACAACTTTGGCAGTGGTACAGTTGTTGTCTGTGAGCTAAACCGTGCTTGTTGGGTGTATAGCTTACATAGCAACTCTTGTTAGTATAGTGAACACAAATGAGCTTTTTGTTGTCGGATAAAAACTGTGATATGTCTCTCAAAAGACAAACAATCAAACATACCATTTAATAAATTAACCATTTGTGACAACATCATATCAATGAGTCCATTACAGGGCTTGAGGTATGGTATAATTTCATTATGTGAGACTAGTCAGTTTGTTGTTCTTGCCCCTAAACGTCCAGTAGTCCAGGAATTATCCACTCCTCTGGCAGTTCATCTCACTGAAAAAACAAGAGAGCTACGGGACTGTGTACACTTTCACTGAGTATAAACTGTTGAAGTGAATGTGAAAAGCTTAAACTGCACTTCTGGCTCGAATGGTGGATAATGGAAGATCATTCAAAAAATGTTGCACTTTACTTTGTATTTTCAAATATGCAAGTAAGAGGTTTTTTTTGTAGTAATGATGCAGCATTTTTGATACATTTAAATGGGTTTTTTCTTTTTACTTACTGACCCCATGCCAATATTTCAGGCCTGTAATTTGTACAATAAGAATTATGGCTAACGAGCAACCATTTATAAATGTTTTCTCCTGTTTTCTCTTTTGTTTTTTATGCTGTACCTAAAATGTACCCAACTGTGACCCTAAAACTAAGGTACACAGTGAACTGTGGGTTTTGTTTGGATTGCACCCATGGTGTTCAATTAGTGCACTTCCAGTTAATTAATTCCAATCAACTGCTGTAGTACACATAACATTCCTCTGGAAATCAAGAACTGCTCTACAGGAATCTTCCAAGTAAATTACAGACCCATAAAATAAGAAGATTTTTAAATCATTTTCTAGATATGGTCTATACAAACAGTAATACTCTTCAGTCAACATGCTCCAGACATAATATAATATTAATAAACTGTATAGCAGAGAGATCATGGAGAAGGTGGAGTGCAATGCAGGCCATGCCTGTTTGTTGGCCATTACAGTATGCACAGAGCATGACAGCAGACGTCCCTGCATGACGTAATGTGAGACGCTGAGCCGGGTGGTCTATGTGAGCTCCCTGTTATCAGAGGCCAACAAAATGCCATGCTGCCTCTGTAGATGAGCTGATCTCCTCTTCTTGCTCTCCCAGGGAAAGGTCAGATAGCTACAGAAGAGTTATTTTTTAATAGAATGCTAGGACATTCAAGAGGCCAAAGACATAAGGTTACAGAGGCATTAAAGACATACGTTTGATCATTTTGAATCAATAAAAAGATCTCAAACTCTACATTACAGAGACTGTGCATTTTAATTACTTGTCACATTGCTGGGTATAGTTGTGTTTCTGTTGTTATAGTCAGCTGTGAGCTTATACTTTTCATTTTACCCACAATAAATGTGCCTGCACTGCAATAGAGAGCAGTTAAAAGCAATAAAGATAATAATAAAAATGGTGGTAATATTGTGTGCACCTACTTTAGTACATGCCAAAACTGCACGCTGTTGACCTTGAACAACAATAATTATCAAACTTAATTTCAGTGAGTATGTTTTGGGCTTTTTTTGGCATCCGACACACCTATACCTATAATCTGCACAAATGATACTTTTCAGCAAAAAAAATTGTGTAGTCCGCTTTTGGTGTTTTACAGTTGACACTGAATTTCTATTTGTTCACGTTCTTTTCATTTTGTTCTATTTACTCTATAATCTGTTTCACTTTGACTTCTGTAAACTAAATGATTACCTACCTACCAACCTTTGACATTTCATCATTATGATTGTGACTATCTACTACTATACTAGCATTGCTGAATATGGTTTAAAGGTGGATGTGCAATGAATTGAAGACCTTTTTGGTGCTATAAATACTGTGTGTTTTTGGAGGAGTTTGCCATTAGGACCGACATTGGTGAAACTGCACGTCTTCTTTTACATTCTTTTTTATTGATGGACCCGCAATGTAGAATAAGTTGTTCATATACACCCAATTGATTAAGTTGCAGATCTACATCTACTTAAGGCTAATTCTTGGAGAGCACGGAAAATATTATTTCAGCCTTTGTGCATACTCAAGAATTTTAGCCTTGAACCTACTCAGAGTTCTCAGCACTTACTATGATCCAAAACATCTTGGTTGCAGGGACAATAAACTTGTTAAAAGAGAGGAACTAACTAGTGGCTCAAGGTTTTGTTACGATGAGCAGTGAAATGTGTCTGCAGTGTACCTCCATGCTTCTTTAACTTTTAAATCCAAACTACACTGGTTTCACATAATTATGGCCACAGATGACAGTCATACAATATTGTGAAAAGGACAAAAATAAAAAGAAGAGAATAAATATCTTGTAATATGAAGTCAACTGAGAGAGCAACCCAGTCAGATTGCAATGCTTCATAATGATGAAAAAGGTTAAAAAAGGCAAAATAATATTACCTTTTTTTGGACACACATGCCATGGTAACCTGATACCTTACATTAATATAGCTATTTCTTTGGAAGATGTTCATAAATGAGATCCTTTCCCTCTGTTGACAACGCCATGCACCAAAGTTTCAGTGGGGGGGAAATGTGAGAAATTTATGTCATTTAATTAGTGGAGATGGAACACTGAACTCTATTGCAGTCCAATTTTCCCTTTTTATTCATCATAACCTGTTCATGGAGATGATTTCCCTTCAATGACACTGCCACACATGTCATACACCAAAGTTTTAGTTAGGAAAAAGTAGCAAATTTATGCCATTTAATTAGTGGGGATGGAACACTCGTCTCTATTGCAGTCCAATTTCTCTATTGCAGTTAGGCTGATGAGACACTTGAAAAAAGAGGAAAACTTACCTAATGCAGCTCAAATATCCATGCTGATTTCTAATTTATTTCTGAGCAGAGGTACTTACACTGCACCTCCAGGTATTTCTGTGCTTGGAAGTCCTTGACTGCGGGGTGGTCTACGATGCAAACCACAGGTACACCATCATCCTCCTTGCTGACGGTGAAGGTCAGCCGGCTGGTTACTGTGTACATCTTGTCATAGGTGAGCTCAACTCTGGGCTTGCCTATTGGGAAACATCAAAGACAAGCAGACGTAAACACAGCAGTACAGGTGAAATTTGGATTGTAGTTAAAAAATGAATGAGCCTTGTGCAGAAAAATCCATAAAATGAAAAGCTTGAAAAGCAAACAACTGATGACAACAAACTCAAGTTTGGTCCAAACTTTCACCTACAGTCACAAACTGTGCACTGACCAAGAACAACTTCTTTCCAAATGTCCTTCATAGGATATCAGACTCAAAGCTCTCCAAAGCTGAACTCATTAAGCATTCCATTGAAATGAATCGATTCTGCTCTGAGAATTTGCAGGTTTAAATTCAGATGTGAACGGGCCCTTAGGTGTGAATATGACTACTCCCTCACACTAAAAGTAACCATATCCAACCATGCCTGGAAATGCAGATATCCTCCAGGAGGAGCTGCCTGATGCATTTGGCAGAGGGATACCTTTTTTTTAATGCTTAGCCTTCTGCAAACACAACCCAGACCTCAAACATTAATACAGTCCATCACCTCAAGTATCTCTCAAACTATTGTGAGGAATAACTGAGCAATGAAAAACAGAGTATGTTCTAGAAGCATTATAATTTATCTCTAACCATCCATCTGCCATTCATAGCCACTTATTCTTTGCAAGGTTGGATGGGTTTGTCATCTAACACTAGGTCACAACCCTGGACAGGGTCAGTCTATTACAGGGTTGACATACAAACAGACAACCTGTCACACCTACGGACAATTTAGAGTCTCCAACTAACATAACCTGCATGTCTATGGGGTGTGAAAGGAAACAAGAGCAGATGGAAAAAAACCTGCACAGAAGTTCGTGTCCATGCAAAGTATTTGAACCCCCCTTGCTGTGAGGCAACAGTGCTTACCACTGCACCACCATTCTTCCCATTTTCCTGCAATTTGATCTATAATGTCTGAATTAAGATGTTAAACCTAAGGCTTTGGAAGTAAGAGGTGAAAGGTTGCTGAGGGGAAAGCACTGCTTGTTCTCATAATCATTTAAATGACTCCTTATAGTTTGCTGGTTGGTTGGCTTCCTGCTTCAGGGTTCAATTGATTTTCAGTGCGTTTTCCACACTAAAGTCATATAATAGAACAATTGAGCTCCAGAGTAGTAGGCTAGCTTTAAAAAGAAAATATGAATAAAGATTATATGCTTTTATTCTAAAAGTCTTTTTGAAAATATTAATAAAAACCTTCGGGTTGTGCTTTTTCTTTTTTTAGGCATCTTTGGTTCCTCTAGGAGTGCTTTTTGACCATCTTATTTTATTGAAGGGTCAGTCCACTGAGTTTTACTGGAGAAAATAACAAAGCTGAAACCTGTACACCTAATGCTGCTGAAAAAAACAATGATTTAAAAATGTTAAGGGCTGACAAAGACAGCCATTGTTTGACAGCAAGTGTCTTTCTTGCATTGACCTTGCAAAATATGTAGTATGGAAGTGCAGAGGGTGTCCTTGAAAATAGTCAGAAAAGGTGAATCAGCTAACAATTGCCGGCTGTCAGGGGCTACTATGCGACTGTGAATCACACATTAGGCTTCATGAAGCCAGATTTATTGTGTGGCCACCTTTTGCACAGCACTGCCAGATCTGAAGCCTGCACAGTAACCATCCTCTGATTAGTGGCTGCTCTGTAATATCACACAGACAATATGTTCTCACAAGCAATGAAGAGAATACCTCATCACAGTCATACAAAATAAGAGGGATAGGTGCACACAGCTCTGCACAGCAGATTTGCAAAGAGAGATTGATTATTTTTATCCCTTTGTCCTACTTCCTAACAGTCTGTTGCACAAGTGTGTTTGTGTCCCATCAATAAAACAAATACTGGAAGCAAAAAAGTAAAAGAGCCTGCCAACGAAATGCTGGTACAGGAGAAAATCTGCCTTAATGTGAAGAGTTGCATACATCAGTTTAAATTTTAGCTGCAAAATATGCACTAAGTGCACATTCTACCCGCTCCTGTACGGCAGCTCAGCCACTGTGGTGATACCTTCACCATAGTGACAGCTGTCTCTTCGGATGCTGGGAAAGCAAACCTGTGTGATGTGCCTGGTGTAAAGGAACAGGCTGTCATGAATAAACACCACTAGAGGCTTCAGATTCATGAAAACACCTGAAACAGGAACCTGAAGGGGTCTTCTCAAATCAATATGTCTTTTGAGATGCATTAAACAGTGGTGAAGAGACGTCTTCATTCAAGTCCTGGGTTTCTGGATCGCTTGCTTTGCACCTTATGAATTCAGTGTACAATTAAAATAGTTATCTTCACAAGCTAAGTGTCTATGGGTTTGAAACTTGTACAAAGGTAACTTACTATGGAAGAACTGTAAGAATAATGTATAATTACCATAAATGGTAATGTGGTTGCAATTAACAATGAACCTCCATCCTAATCCTCTCTCTTTAACCATTTGCCATTCCCAAAACATTTTGAACTGTAGCTCCAGTTGCACAGGAAGCATATCACCCATTACCTGGTTTATGTTATAACGTTTACTACAGGTTTCTAGCCAAACAAAACATGAGACACACTATGTAAAATACAGTGTTAAGATCAAAGAGGCTACTTAGCAGCCTGCATGTGTATAACAAATACTAAAATTGTGGAAACTACAGTTTGTAAGGTAAATTTGGTATTCAATAGTGGCATTTCTTAGCTTTCTCTTTGCCTGGTATGAGGTATCTTCACCTCACCATCCATTTGTGCTAGGTAGAGATAAAACAAATGAATCCTGCTATGCATTGTATAGCATAAGAACTGACTGGCGCCCGTTTCTTTTTTTTTTAAAGTATTTTTTGGGGCTTTTATTGCCTTTATTATAGTGCCAGCTGAAGATAGAAAAGAATGGGGACAGAGAGAGAGGGGATGACACGCAGCAAAGGGCCGAAGGTCGGATTCGAACCCTGGGCAGCTGCAGCAAGGACTCAGCCTCTGTACATGGGTCGCCAGCTCTACCCACTGAGCTAACCGGGCGCCCTGGCGCCCATTTCTAGGGGAAGGCAGAGGAGACTCATAAGAGTAGTCTCATACGATGGACATTTGACAGTATTCCAAATGTGTTGCATCAAATACTAATCTGTTTGAGTAGACAATGCAGCTCTTGAGGGCAACACAAAAGGTGCGTCAAAATCACATCTTACAATTGTTTTCTATTGAAGCCCACACACTGGAGGCATCATGCCGCATCAGGATACGCCTAGAGCCGACATGCGTCAACACTCCACAAAGCAATTTAATCACATTCTCTCTGGATTTGCACATCCTGGCTACTGTACCTTCACTACTTTTTCTTTGTGTATGGCTCATCCAGTATGGGCCATGGGCACCACATAATATGTGTATAGGTGTAAACAAATGTGTATTGCCTCATAGCCCTTATCACTGACATTAAATAAGTAGTGGACAGAGGTTCCGTTAGGTGCAGCCAATCCAGACGTGTCTTAGACCTGCATTCTTTCTAATGGCCAGCTGGGGGCAGCTCCATGGGCTGCAAAAAAGAAGTCTCATAGTAAGAATTACCTTACTTCTAACTTGATTTATTAGCTCAGTAAACAGTTTTTTACTGAGTTTATGGTCGCAATGGCTAGTTTCAAGCCTTCTTCCTGATGTTCATTTTGTAATTGATGGTCCCATTTAGAGTAAAATAGACTAAAATGCTTTAGGGCGTGGCTACCTTGTGATTGACAGGTTCATTCTCAGTGAATCCATCCAGCTCAACACACCAAAGTCAGATCAAACTGGCAAACTAGGCAGTGCTGATCAAATATGAATCAAGATTCTGTTAATGATTACCTATTTCTAACCTCAGACGTTTAACAAAACACCAAGATGGCAAAGGTCATAATGCCAAACTCAAAGCTTCAAAACGGAACTCCATAAACCAATGGGTGACGTCAGGTTCACACTTGGCCCTTATGTTCAGCTGGTTTTCCTGATTCTTGTCTTTAGCTGTCCTTGCAGTTTTAGATTTTCAAAGTAAGCTACAGGTCTGATCACCAGGAAGTAGTAAAGCAGCATATCCGTGTATTCTCAGAAAAAGGGGGTGCTAGAAAATAGCTGATATAGAGATTGCTTGCAGGGTTAGTTGAAAAAACTAGTCCTGCAAGCATGTTAGCCAAGAATATGGCATGTATTCACAGAAACTCTGCAAACTAAATGACTTGCAGACTTTCAGCAAGATAGGTAGTCAGTCACTGGGCAATAAGGTAACACAGTTTATTCAAGAGATGCATCTATGCCATCAACGCTTGCCATGGCTCTTCTGTAGAGTAGTTCACTCCAACAGAACAGGGTTATATAATAGTGGAGCTTTGGGCTAATGGGTTTTGGATAGAGTGCTCTAAAAGGCCAGCACAGTTAAGACCATTTGCTAGTAGTCAGCATTGGAAATCTGCGTATCAAAGTTCACTTCAGTTGAAGTCAACAAGAAAAATTTGCATGGATGCTGGACGTGTATTTTGTTGAAATTAATAATTTTATGCTGATGTTTTAAATGCTGGTGTGACTGGGCGCAATGCAAAGGTTGTTGCAGGTTTGACCTTATGGCTTTACCATGACTGGCTCCATTATACAATAATATAACAGAGCTATGAATTGAACCAGTACAGCCCTGTGTAATATGAAATATACAATATAAAAATAATATTGGATTAATACACTGCTTCCCAATGATAATGGTTCCCTTATTGTAATTTCCCCCCTTCTCTTTCTATAAAACTATCAAGCAGGTGACAATTATGTGACTTTAACCAGAAAAGCCCTTAAAAAGTGAAGTGAGTATTGAAGATTAATTAGTGATAGCTGTCTGCTTGAAAACATCACACATTGTTAAGCAATGAGAACATTGTGAGAGACTAACTTTGGAGTGGTGCCAGTAGAGATGAATGTCACTGAGCGACAGCGGAAGGTCAAATGAAAGCTGAAGTGGCACTTTAAGTGTTTAGTAAATCCAAACATACAAACTCAGTTGGCTCTTTTCATGGGCCTCCTCTACATTTCACTTCTTTAACTGTTATCATTTAACCACATTTTTGCTGAGCAGGAAGGGAGCGGTGTCTAGTTAAATAAAATATATGTTTCTCCTCTTCAATCACTTTACTTTGCCCAAAATATTCCTTTATCCTTTTTGTAGAGTCTTCCTGCAGGGGTAGAGCAGGGTAATTGAAATCACCCTGTGGTTGTCTCATAAGACTTGAGGCTAATGGCTGTTCTGGTCCCTGTCAGTCAGTGAAGTGCCCTACCTACTGGCTTTTTCTTTTTTTCGACCCGTCTTAAAAGAACAGAAAGGAATGACCTGCACTGCTAGATTCTGCACTGTTAAAACTCCCTTTCTTTATGACTTCCACTGCGGTCTTAGCTTATAAGAACAGGAGATATCAGCGCTGAGGCATATGTTAATAAATCACTAAACAACAGGAATAGAGTAAAAGGAAAGGAGAAAATAATGGTGAGATAATGGGTCTGTGCATATTAGGAGAGATGGTTGGATTTACATTGGCAAGCATGACAATTGCAACCTTTAAATGATATTTAAGAGAGGCTGATTATCCCTTAAGGTAATTAAGTTAAATTCTGGGGACGTTTAATTAGAAATAAGTCTGCCAGGCAAGGAGCCACAGCCGAAGGCAATTTAAGTAATTCTGCCCTAGTGTCAGGACTCTGGCACCCTAAGCCATTCTTTTTCTTTCCATCTTTTATTTTCTTGCACTCCTTTCTCTTTCACATTTTCAGCATCACCAGAGCAACACCAGGTTTCATTTGCACAACATTGCTGCAGTGTCAGCTAAACAATCTTTGGAATCATGTGACACAGTTTACTACACAGCTCACATTTATAGCAGCTAATTAGCATAACATGGTAAAAATAAGGTGATATTGTTAATACACCAATTGTAGTGTCAGTTAAATTGTACTTGCAAAGATACTGGTTATGTCAAATGAAAAAAGATGGATTTTATGAGCGTACCCACCATTGTTTTAGACTGTTTCAGCTAGAGGCACCTTTTCACCTGTGGCGAAAATGGATAAAAGCAAATGGCATGCTCCAAATGCTGTGCTGTGACAGGTGAGCCTTTAAGTACCACAGAGTATTGTGTTATGGCAAAAATTGCATCTATCAGTTGTAGAACTTCAAAGAGTGTGGAGCCAGTTCTGTAAATAGCAATCCATTCCCAACAAGTGTGAGAAAACAGCATGGGCGTGGGGTTGAGGGGCATTCATCGTTATGAAAATTGTTTTGCCATTCAATAAAACAAGCATATGAGCATCATTTGAAAGCTCATGTATAGAGCGGGTGAATGCTCAGAAAAGGAAGAACTCATTACAAATAAAGTCACAGTACACTGAAAAATAAAACCATGCTGAATGGAGATGGTTTTGTATAGAGACACTGTGGCAAGATCCCACTTAAAGGGAGATGCTGAGTACCCTGAAGAGTGGATCAACAACAGTAGTCACTGGTTCCACTTAGCCCATTTATGCAAGCAAGAGCAATGCTACCACACACCATTAGTCAGTGTGTTTACATGCACTTAAGTAACTGTGTTACAGTCAGCTTTCTGCATGAACAAATTTCCAAACATTGTTATGTAATTATGATATGGGGTTAGATATGAATAAATCCATATTTCCAATGCAGAAACCAGATTTCATATATGTATCATTGTCATGGTTTTAGGCCGGATAATATGAACCATTATTACATGTTGTTGTAGTCTAAAACTGTGTCCAGAGTTGGACTAAATCTGAAAATAGAACTGAACATAGTATATTCCAAGGATATTCTAAAATAAGTCAGTTTCTACAGATGTATACTTCAGGTACATTAACTTTGTAATTGCCTGTAATGACACTGTAGCTTCTTAACATGTAGGAACTTCAACAAAATCAGTGACCAGAGGAGTTTGCCTATATACACTGGTCAGCAGAAACATAGCATAGCAAAAAAGATCTGACTGGACGTCAAGAGTCAGTTTTATATGATGTTAATAGCTAGTTCTAAGCCAATCCCTGACCTTGGCACATTGGAACTTTGTCCGATTTGAGCTGACCACTAAGGATGTAATGTGCAGCAGTGCAGAGGTGAAGCTGCTCAGGGCCTTCTACACAGCTTCTGATTAGGACCTTTGTTTCAAAGTCTTTACAAAGCTTGCCGTATGCGCTCTGAGGTGGAGCTGCCTGGCAGGAGGCCTGTTCACCCCTGAGCTCTGCTCAGACTTCTAAAGCTCAGCTACCTTTGATGAAGGCATGAAAGCTGTCACAGTGCCAAACGGCTCTGGCCACCACGGCACATCCACATTTCTTTAATGGAAACTATTCGAAGTCACAGCAGAGCTCAATTTAAGAAGCAACAGCATTGATGCAAGGACTAAATATGGAGAGCCAGCAAAGGAAAAAAAATGGCCCTAAAAATGGTTAATTTATATCCATGGCATAGGGGCTTAAAAGATGCATATGTGCATAGAAAAGTTATACACTAAGAATGTGCACACCTACAGAAATTCACAGGCACATTTTGAAAACTATTGCAACACTAGTGACAAAGTAGTAAAATAAAAAAATCTTTTAATTGTATAAGTATTTTTATTCCATGGCAAACTTCACAGTCTATACAATAGTTTCTGATGACCTTTTAGCCCTCAATAGTGCTTTTCTGTTCAATAAAATGACAAGTAGCCTATAAAGTGTGTCACTAGCTGCATACCAAAATTGCCTTCACCTCTAGCAACTTGATCCATTTCCAGGTTCTTCCCTCTGTGGAACAACACCACTGATGAGGCAGACTGCACCATGAAACTAGATGCTCAGCAGGGGCATCGAGCTCCAGGGTCCTCTGATGCCCACCAGTGGGGCATCACACTATTTGGTATAAATGTAACCCCTTCTTCTTGATTTCTGGAATGGTTTAGCTCTCTGAGCTTGTGATGTTCACTGCTGCTGTGAAATGCCGCCTTCTCAAGATATCATTTTGTCTTATTGGTTTAGTCCTTACTCAATAATATATGAAGATTTTAAGGTTTTCTTCTTTTGTTTTCTTTTATGTGGAATTTATACATGGGTTCCCTGTTTTTTCAAAGTGAGGGGAGCAGTGGGCGCAGGAGATGTTTTCTTTCCTCTCAGAGGTGACACATGCTGGCCCATTTCCCTGGTGTTTGTGTCACACAGAGGTATTCTTTGCACAGATAACCAATCGATAAAATAGACAGACGAGTGAATATTTGTGAAAAGAACTTTCCCTCCGATCTTCTGCACTACATAAGTGCCTTATTATGTTGCAAGAGGAAATGTATTGATTGATGATTGTGTTTTTCTCTTTGTGCACGGAGCCGACCTACCTGGAAGCTCTTTATCTCCCTTCATCCATCTGATGGTGGCGGCAGGCTTACTGCTCATGGCAGTGCAGGTCATCTCTGTCTCGTTGCCCTCGCTCAGGACCTCATCCCGGGCCTCGATGATGGGGTTACCTGGAGGAACTACGACAGGACACACAAACAAAACTCTGTAAACATTGGGGGAATATAATACTTCTACACCCTGAACACTACATGATGAGAAGACAATAGAGCTCACATTGGAGAGAGACTTTTCTTAAAGGTCAAGTGTGTAACATTTAGGAGGATCTATTGGCAGAAATGGAATATAATATTCATAGGTATGTGTTCATTAGTGTATAATAACCTGAAAATAAGAATCGTTGTGTATATGTTACCTGAGAATGAGCTAGTTTTATCTACAGACAGATTCCAAACACATATTTGCTCATGTCCAACCTTTACTACCCATGCAGCTTACATATTTCGTTTTACTCTGTGGTAAAAAATTGCATATCCTTAATAGTCAATATTCAAAGTACAGCAATATGTGTAGACTATATGGCAAGTAAAAGAAAGAACTCCAAATAGCTGACTGAATAGTTATCACTTGATTTACCCATGATAGGTTAATTATTTAGTATCTTCCCATACACTCACAAGTTTCTCACATTTCTTGAGGCATTTCTTCCTAACTGATAGTGATATTTAATAGAATGTAAAGCACACGATTATTCTAACATGTAACTGACTCCTCAGGCTTTGAGTTTGAATGTTTTTCATGAATATGTGAAGGGATCATGTCAAGATATAAGACGGTGATGGTGCTATTCAACAAGCAAAAGTTGATGACAGCTGACCTTGTAGTCATTCAGGATGTGGCTGGTCTAATGGAGCACTATTTTATTCTGTTCATTTTCAAACAATTTAACCTGATTAGAACTTACTTCAAGGAGTCATGTAGAACATAATTCAAACACACACACTAGTAATGGCACATTACATAATAGGGCTGGGCTGTAATTCAATAATTTCGTGCATCCTCTTTCAGTGAGAGTATCGAGAAGATCATTTTTGAAAACTCAGTTTGCTAAAGTGAAATTTGATTATCTTATGTGATATGAATGGGATCTGTGATATCTTATGTCATATCAACATTGGACAAATATTCACATTAACATCTTGATATGCATGTTGTGCAGATATAACCCTAATGCGCACTACTGAAACCACATATACACAAGTAAAATCTTCTTGCATGCATACACATAAACCGTGCACACACATACACACAAACCTGCTAAGGAGACCACATGAACACATGCGACTGAATCAAACATACTAGAGAAACCATACACTGTATGTAGTCTACACATGACACTGAAACTATGCACACACACTAGGCATCCACACAAATACAGTTTATTACACAGACGTGTGTGTGTATGTTTTCAGCAGTTTGTATACTTTGTTTAATGAATCCGTATTCAAGTGTGAATTATGACCTATTTGGCCTTCCATACGTGCATAATTCTCTACTGTATATTAGCTTGTTTAAACACTACAGCATTATGACAAGATTTAATAAGCACATATCAAATACATGATTTTTTTCTTTCAAACTTCACTGCTGTCAGAGCCTGCAGTTTTCATTGGGAGCTGTCAACCATGTTGCTCAACATTTGAATCTATATTGTTTTCTACAGTCTAAATGTTGATTAATAGGCTTTACCTCCCTGCTACTAATAGCATTGAGTGTTTGTGTGCATCTGTGTGTGTGTGTGTGTGTGTGTTTGTGTGTTTTTGTTGTACTTAGCACAGTGATGTCAGCGTAGGCTTCCTGCGGGGGGTCTGTGTAGAGCTGACAAACATATCGACCCTCGTCTGACAGTGAGACATTAGACAGCGACACCCGCAGCTCGTTGTCTGAGAAGTTCACCAGCTGAAAGCGAGCGTCTTTCAATGCTGAAGGAAGAAAAACAGACAATAGTTTTTATAATCTATGTGACATATTACCCATATGGGAGGTACACATATGCATAGTAAACAGTAAATAATACAAATAATGTTTTATGGTGACTGGAACATCGAATTCAGTAATAGAACACAGTAATCCTTACTTTTTACTTGTGATTCTTCAAGTATTTAGACTGACACACCATGTAGGTTTATGATGCCTCAACTTTAGTAGGCCGAACATAAATGGACGGAAAGCCATTCAGCAGTCCAGCTTTCGATGGGTGTAAGCAAGGCAAGTTTACAGTGGTGTGAAAAAGT